ATAAACATTGCTATACCTATTTATTGTAGTTTCCCTGATATTGGGAAATTAATCAAAGCATCCACGGAATGCGGGAAAACGTTTGATTTTTTTATTAGAGGCCATGGAATTTTGACAGTTTTTGGTCCATATTTGTGTTATTGTTGTTGTTACTTACATTTGATCACGAGTGAAAGTGGATAAGTGGAAATGGATATCATGGCAAATTATTCCAACACCGATATTTTAAATTTGTTCTATATTCATGGCGAATGTAATAAATGTTTGGATAGGACGTGTCGAACATTTAATGAGAGATATCCAAACCTAACGCCTATCACAAAAAAAAAATTTCGAAAAATTGAAAAGGGTTCTCTTAGTTCTACAAACATCGAAACAACAAGAAACCGTAAATTTCCTATCACCAGTGATGAAGATAATGAAATAAATGTCTTATCATATTTTATTGCTTACCAAATTCTTCAGTAAGTCTAAATTCTAAATATTTGGACAGATGAATCAAAATTTTCGAGGGAGGGTACAGTTAATAGACAAAATTTACATATTTGGGCTGCCGAAAATCCTCATGCAGTCAGAGAGAAAAATTTTCAACTAAAATTTAGTTTCAACGTTTTTGTTTTGTTAATGGAAAACCAACTTCGTTTTGAAATTTACGATGAAAATTTAAACAGTGAATTTTTAAGAGGTACAGTTACTGATTTTTGCGAAAGTCAAAATCATAATATCACATAATTATAATTGTTGGTATCAACTGGATGGCGCTCCAGCACATTCTTCAGGGCAAATTTACCAACAATTAAACAATTTGTTTGATGAGCGGTGGATTGGAAGAAATGGATCATGGCAATGGCCTCCACGATCTCCAGATTTAACACCAGTGGATTTTTATTTGTGGGGTCACTTAAAAAATCAAGTGCACAATTCACCGGTCAACACACGACTAGAGTTGCGTGATAGAGTGGTGCGTGCACTACATACTATTGATGGCGACCAACTTCTACGGGCCACAACCGTAGAAGTCGAATGAAGAGTTGAAAAATGTTTAATGGTGAATGGTTTTGTCTTTTTATATGTTATTCATTCTAATTTCTGCTATTAAATTGTTGTTTTTCATTGTTTCATTTATTCGTTTTTCTGTTGGTTATTTTTGGTAAATAAAAGCTAGCAAGCTAAAGGTTATTCAACCATAGTTAATTGTAGAAATAATACCAATAATAATTTAAATAAATAATATAAAAAACTGTTGACAATTTTGAATTAATGTCAGCTTCAATAACATGTTTACTCGTCTGGAATAAGTGTTTCGAAATATAAAAACATAACCATTAATGATAATAAATAGTATTGTTTCTCTGTAAGTAGATAGCACTTTTTCTTTTGTATTGTTGCTCGTTTCAATAAATTAAGTCTGTTCTGATTGGGCTAAAAATGCGTTACGTAATGAAATCAGTGCGGTAATGAACTTCATTACGTAACTCAAATCACCTCAAATGAGTGTGGTAATGATGACTTATCCAAGTAGTCGTAGATAATAATTATTTAAATGTCATTCGAGCGATAATACAAAGGTTCGTAAAACGAACCTTTGCATTATGTTACGTATTATACATACGAACTTCGTATTATCGTTTTCCATGATTACGACCAATTAATCGCTGAAATACTCGCAATTGACGGAAAACCGCGAATTCTTATTGGTTGTTAACGTTATGAAGAAAATAGTCATATAAATCGCATTATGCTAATTGTAAGCCGTTTTTATGGAAAAGTTTAGTAATTTTTTATGATTAACATTCTAACTATTTTATAACAAAAAAATATGTCATTTTGTACAGAAATATGTTGACAACAATCCTATGTATTTACTGTTGAATAAAGATGTGAGAAAAAGGCGTGAGTCTGCACCAAGTGAAACTGTCGGTTTATATGTATAAAAATCGCCTTAGAACGGCGGTCTTAACGAAATATATAATACTTACTTATTTATGTGTAGTGAACTGATAGCTACAAGGTGAAATATAAATACTGTAAAGACAGTAAGATACTGAACCAGTGAAATTGTTTCAGTTTAGTATTAAAAGCTTAGCAGTTGAACAAAAATAAAATCAAAAAAATGATGTGTTTAAGCAATACATTTATTATTTATTTTTTGAAAACAACATAAAATGGAAACTAAATAAAAACTATGTAGAAAGTAAATACTAATTAAAATAACACGAATACAATTATTTATAGATTAGACGCTACTGTTAATCCTATGATGACCCAAGCTGATGTATTAATTCCATCATCGCAAATATATCGCTTATGATTAACAACCCACCCATCATTTTTTGACTTTTTAGTAACCCACCCATCAGCAACCCTATTAGCATACACCGTCGATCTCAAACCCAAAAATTCTTCCATAATTTCACCGCAATTCTCGTCTTTAAGTATAAGTCGGAATATTCTTTTAAATTTTGACAATTACATTCTTGCCACACACATTGGGTATGCGAATATTGCTCATCACTTATATCTTCTAAAGTTAATTTGTTGTAAAACATACTCTTAGGTGGTAGTGATGTATCATTTATTTCGTATTATTTGTATCGAAAGAGGTTATATAATTGTATGGAAATATACCTTTTTTCGTTAACAATTTAAAATGTTCATTGTATGGAAAGAATTTTCGTATATTGATAAAGTTATATATTTCGAGTTAAATAAATTTGACAACATCAATTAATTTTGTGACATACATAAACTTGAGATGCATCAAGCACCGTATACGTTTCGAATTTATTGAAACTATTATCGATAGTATAAACGATGTAATAGGCGAAACTGTAGGGCTGATGCATCTCAACTTTTTTGGATGCATGGAATTTGGCTCTCAAAAGTCGATGGGTTGTAGAATCGATTTAAAACATGCACCAGTCACTCGTATTAATGAACTGGGGAACATACGTTTAATTCTGGATACTGTCACTTATAGCGTTGTTTTCGATTACAGAACCCATTTTGGCCATTTTTTGAGTTGTCAGTTTGACTGGTTTGGCCAAGTTTGACATAGTAATATTTTTGATTGCATGTTTGTATTGTGTATAGAGGAAGAGTTGCTAGCGATTTGAAGAAAGAGCGATTTGTTATTGTTGCTTTATAATAAGTACTTCGATTGATGTTATAATCAGCCATGGGGAAGCAGCATTGGATAAATACAATAAAATTAACCCTTCCTCTGTAAACCTGGGTATTTCCTGTCCGACCTACAACTGTTTAGGCAAATAATTTCCTCATTTCATATAAAAAATATGTATGCAAAAATTAATTTTTCGATAATTTTATGATTGATTTATCAAGTTGAAGGTTTCGAACATTATCATGAATTGTTTATAAAAATTTGTGAGTGCATTAACAGTATGAAAAAACGGCCGAACCCGAAAGACCCATCTTTACAGACGGAAGGTGCTAAAAAACCGTTTACAGACAGGTTAAAAGGAAACGATGTGGTATAAATAATATTAAAAAAATTAAAGAATAAAGTCTTTGTTATTCATTTAAAGACTTTTTAATACACCCTGTACCAAATAATAACTTAATACCTAGTCATGTTTTTTCGATTTTTTCTTTTTTGGAAAACATTGTAAACGACAAAATTTAAATGTGTTTAAAATTTTGTACAGTTTGTAAAGTTTTGTCACCGAGCAATGTTTTCGTAAAAAAAACATCGACAAAACTTTCAAATAACAAATTTAATTTATATTTCCCGCCTGCCTATAATTTCAGCGCTGTAGGTGACAGTATCCAAAACTAATTGCGCATTTCAATCAAACGTTTATAGTTGCCTATCCATATAACAAATATATTATATCTAATCTATGATTTAAAATCTGCATATATCACGAACGGAGCCATCTGAGTGAGTTTATAATTATTAAATTTTAAAATATTTTCGGAGGTATATAAGCCAAAATAATTAGGTTTCGATTGTTTTGATATGATTGCAATCATGACTTAACTTTAACTTAACTTTGATGTTTAATTAACTTTTCCTTTGATGGAAATCGAGTTAAACATCCATCACAAAGGTGTGTAGAATGTTCGTGGTATGTAACCTGACTTGATATAAGCCTAGAAAGGTTATTAATTAAAACGAAATGATCCTAACCATTTTCGTATAGATAAAGCAAATTTATATACATTCTATTTATATGCATACTTCAAATTCAAATTCTTAATTAATTCATAAACATTAATACTTAAATTATTTAATTTTTCTACTTTAACAATATATTTTAAGCTAATATTCCCCATTAGCTTAATCCCTTGCAAATTAAGCGTTTTACTATAATGAAGGTAGCTCGAAGTCCGGCCTTGACTAAATTTCGCGGAATGAAGAGCCGCCGTCAAACACCACGCAAGGCATTTATCGTCTTCATAGTTTTTAATATTGATGCATGCCTTCTTATGAATAATTTTATGAAGTAAACGAATATATGATGACCCGGGTATAGGTTCAAATTTATTGAGGTTTAAGAAGAGCTAAGATATTGAGCGGAAAACCCACTCCGACCCACGCTCCTGAAATTCCTCGCTTTGAGTTAAAATATCGCGAGTCCTCTCATCATACACCTTATTCAACATAGTAGATGAAGTGATAATTTTAAATTTGGTGTTAACATTTTTCTCTGACGTCATAACGTCTTCATCGCCGTCATCATCGAACCCGGACTTAATAAAATTAGCTAATAACTCAATCTGAGCTTTAATCGAACCATTCTCACTGAGATGCTGTTCAATCAGTCTATTGACTGTTTCACAACATTTCAATAGATATGATGATATATCATCATCAGATTGAGCACCGCTAATTTTATAGCAAACTACCCTATTTTTATAGCAAGATATCATTTTTTCAACATTCTTATCGATTAATTCAACATGCTGCGTTCGAAGATGGGTTTCAAGCGAGGTGAGTGATGGTAAAAAGTCGCTACAAACCTCGCACTCCTTACCTTTCTTCCTGGTAACTGAATGTGGTGGTGTTGAATCTCGACGGCGTTTAGTACAAGTAGTAGTAGATGATGAAAATGAAGTAGGAACTCGCATCTCAAAATTGGATTGAGGTTTAATAGTTGATAGTGGTGGCGCTTGATATCTAGGTTTAATAGCTAGTCCATGAAGTAATCTTTGATGTGCGTACAAGTTATCTCGCCTCGAAAAATATTTTCCACACATCGAACAATCAAATTCGGTTTGGTTATGTTTAGTTCATATAACCAAATGTATTATATATGTTATTCCATTAATTAATGATTACGACACTTTTTTTGATAAAGTAAAGGAAGATCAGGAACACGTGCTATGAACGCCCTATTGTATCTGTTCTGATGCTGTTCTGGCTATTCTGTCACAAAGCTACCAACTAAACAAAAATAGGTTAGAAATCCCTAGAATACCCTAAACATTAAACTAAAAAAAAACTTTTAAATATCATATTAATTTTTATATATTTATTTTAGATAATTAATTTCATTACATAATTCTAAATTTTTTATTTATCTGAATAAATTTGTTGAAAATTAGGTATATGTATAATAGATGACGCTGATATCAACGTTTTCAAATTGGTTACTTGTTTATTTCCGTCGATAGGTGGCGGCAAAGAAACAATGAAAAATACTTTAAAGAAAGATATAGACAATATAAAGCATTATAAAAAAAATCTGAATTCAAAATTAAAGATGCTTGTGCGAAATCCATAATAATTCAGTGCATAACAGATCGACACTTAGATTTAATAAAGGATTCAAAAACAGCAAAGGAAATGTTGAAATCTTTAGAA